GACGCGACACGACGCCACCGCGGCTTCCCGAGGTCCGCCTGGCCGCCCAGCGCCGCGGCCCTCCGGAGGCCTGGAGGGGTCTGGGCTGCCGTCCACGGCGTCCTGAGGCGGGGGACGCGCCCGGCGCCCCCAGCCCTCCTCCGCCTCCTCCTCCCGGGCGGGCGGCCTCCTCCGGCGCCTCCTTGCGCCCGCCCGCCGCTCGCCGCCGCCTCCCTCCCTCCTTCCCTGCGGCTCCCCCGGCTTTCGGAGCCCGGGGGCGGCCTGTGGCGCGCGGAGCCCGCGCCGGACTGCGCCTCTTTGGACCTTGAGGGCAAACATGCGTTTGGCTTGGATCGTTTGAAATTCTTAGTTTGGGATCCCCGCCCGCCTGCCTCGTGAGCCCCGCGGGTTTTCTCTTCTTTTTCTCTTTTTTGCCTTTTCTGGCTCCGGGTCTCCTTTTTGACTCTCTCCCCCTTTATGCTCGTCCAGCCCTCCCGTTGCTGAGAAGTGGGGGAGGGTCTCGGCCTCCAGGTTCCCGCCCCATCGGGGCCCGGGCGAGCATGGGGGGCAAGCAGAGCACGGCGGCCCGCTCCCGGGGCCCCTTCCCGGGGGTCTCCACCGATGACAGCGCCGTGCCTCCGCCGGGAGGGGCGCCCCACTTTGGGCACTACCGGACGGGCGGTGGAGCCATGGGGCTGCGCAGCCGCTCGGTCAGCTCGGTGGCAGGCATGGGCATGGACCCCAGCACGGCCGGCGGGGTGCCCTTTGGCCTCTACACCCCCTCCTCCCGGGGGACCGGCGACTCGGAGAGGGCGCCCGGCGGCGGAGGGTCCGCGTCCGACTCTACCTATGCCCATGGCAATGGTTACCAGGAGACGGGCGGCGGTCACCATAGAGACGGGATGCTGTACCTGGGCTCCCGAGCCTCGCTGGCGGATGCTCTACCTCTGCACATCGCACCCAGGTGGTTCAGCTCGCACAGTGGTGAGTCCCCGGGTGGTGGAGGCCTCGGAGGGAGGGCGCGCCGGGGCGCCCCAAACCTTCGCCTGCGTGCCAAGGTTTGGGTATGTAGTGCACGACCTGGATCTATTTGCCTTCTCTTTAGTGCTGATGCCAAGGGATGAATGGGATATCTGCCCTCTAGAAAAGAGGCTGACTGCGAAGCTGGCTGCGGAGCCGGGCGTTTTAGGACTCCAGGCGTGTGTTCACTTGTGGATGGGGAGAGTGAAACCCGCCTATGGAAGTCTCATTTGTTAGCATCATCCTCAGAAAAGGTCTTGTCGGCTTACAGCAAGTCAGCTTGGGTGCTTCCATTCTGCCACTGCAGCATTGTGCCTACATCACCGTTAATAGATGGATCCAGGTTGACCAAGCAGCGTCTCCTAAACAAAGAGTGTGAATGGAAAATAAAATTAAGGGCAAGTGGTTATTGGATTAGAGCTCTCACCCTTGCTGCCCAATTTTGCCACCTTGCTGGAGATGTGTTTGAATTGTTTAAAATGGAGCAGCCGGCAGGCAGGCGGCTGGCATAGACAGGTGTGGCCTGCTGTATGGAGGGCCCAGCCAGAGAGCCTCTGGGGGCTTTGCAGGACCTGGGCTCCGGTCACCAGTGCTGCATGCATAGGCTTGGCTCAAAGACTCGCATCCCTCCATCTTTTTTATTCTCCATGCTAAGTGCTTGTTCTTGCTGTGAATCTGCATCTTTTTGTAACAGAGAGCCTGGCTAGGTGGAGTGTTACTGCCTGGCTTTTGGCACCTGACAGGGGAAGAGGAGGATTCAAAGAATCTGGATGAATTCATTTTGTGAACTTTTGGTGACAGGCCAGGAAAGGCTGGAGGGGGATTTCCCAGGCTCTGATGGGCAGGGCAGAAAAGGCCAGGCAGACGCTTCTGGAGGAAAACAGGTCTGTCTGCTTGGCCATCCTGAGAAGTCAGGTCAGGCTTCTAGAAAATTGGCCCAAAAGGGTGTGGGGCCACTGTTTGCTAATTGGTAAGTTGAGTGAAGAAGTTACATATTCAGAGCCCTTCGGGTGAGTGGGAAAATTTAGATACCACGTAGAGGATAGATTGCTCCTGCCTTTAGGGTACTTTACCGAGGAGATTATCTGTCAGGTCACTATTTTAGCTAATGTGAAATAGGGTCCATGTTTTAGATATCTCTTTTTCTTGCCCTGCAAATAGCCTGTTATTTTTTTTTCTTTGTTAAGTCTATAAACTTTAATTTGTGAAATAATTTTCTTGGGGAAAATAGTGACTAAGGTAACATTGGAATGGCTTTTGAATAGTTAGGATGGTATTTTAATCCCCGAACAGACTTCCAGATATCCTTGGGGCTTCCCTGACCTCATCAAACTGCATCTCTTGAAGGAGATGCTAGACCTGACTCCCTGGAGCACTTCAGGCGTTGATCAGCAGCATTAAGGCATTTTGAAATTAATAACCTTTCTTGTGAAATTTAGTCTAGAAGTAATCAGCTATATTGGTGAGATAATCGTGTTTATTTTTTTTTTAAAGATATGATT